GGCAGGAGGCATCATAATCCCTGAAGTGAAGTTATACTACAAAGCTACTGTGGTAAAATCAGCATGGTACTGGTGAAAAAACAGATCTGAAAATGAGTGAAACATATTAGAAGTAGCAGACCCAACTACAGACATACTCAGCCAAACATGCCCACTGGAAGAAAGACAGCTTCTTTAATAAATGATGCTAAAAAAAAAAAAAAAAAAAAAAAACTGGTTCTCTACATTCTGAAGACTAAAACTACACACATGTCTATCACTATGGACTAAAGTCAAAATCGACTATAGATCTAAATATTAAAACAGAAACAGAAAACGTACTTTAAGAGATAGTAGGTAAAAATCTTGAAGACATAGGTATAAATTGAGAGTTCACGAACAAAAGCTATACTGTATGAGTAATACTTCAAAGAATCAACAACTGGGATCTCATTCTATTAAAATCTTTTGCATAGCAAAAGAAATCACCAACAGAGTCAGAAGACAACTCACAGAGTAGGGAAAAAAATTTTAGTGAAGACTAAGAACATGAATATATAAAGAACTGGAAAAAGCAAACTTCCTAAATTCAAAGATCTAATCCAAAAACGGGTATCTCAGATGAATACACACTTGTCAGATGAAGAAATACAAATGGAAAAAAAAATTAAAAAAAATAAAAAAAAAATAAAAAAAAAGAAATACAAATGGAAAATAAATACATGAAAAAATGTTCAACATCATTGGTCATCTGAGAAATGTAAATCAAAACAACACTGAGATTTCATCTCACTCCAGAAAGAATGGCTACCATCAAGAAATCAACCAATAACAAATGCTGGAAAGCCTTGGAGGAGAAAGGGATCCTCCATTGTTGGTGGGAGTGTACGTTGCTACATTTACTGTGGAAATAATTGTGGAGATTGCTCAAAAATTTAGGATTAGAGGTCTTATTCCACCCAGCCATTCTCCTTCTGGGTACCTTCCCAGAAGAAATTAAAAAAAAAAAATCATAGAACGGCGATATATGCGCACCCATGTTTATAGCAGCACAATCTGTAATAACTAAATCTTGGAAACAGCACAAATCCTCATCAACTGAGGAATGCAAAAAACGATGTGGTATTTTTATACAATAGAGTGCTACTCAGCCATAAAGTAGGATGAACTCAAGATTTTTTTTTTTTTTTTTTTTTTTTTGGTAAATGGATGCAACTTGAGACATACAGTGAAATAAATCAGATTCACACCATACTGTCTCCCTGTGGGAGAAACTGAAAGAGTAAATAAGGCCTAAAATGTACAACAAATATTGTAAAAAGTGAAGCATTTCTAATTAGAAAGGCTTTATTCTGGGCTTCTTGATATGAAAATATTTGAAGCTAGAGTATATGAAGTTTTATCCAAATATTTCAAGGAAAAAGACACTATGGTAACTACTATTAAGTCGGGTTATATGGTGGTGAAGTACTAGGTTGTTGAAACAGTCATGCTGTGACCTCTATTGTTATATTGTTATGTCCTGTTTTATCTCAATCTCCCCCTTATTGTTTTAAAAAAAATTATTTAGTCATTTCTTATGTTTGTCTTAATTAAAGAAAAAATTCAAAAAATTAGGATATATAAATAGTAACTCTTTTTGATTTCCTATTAACTTGTTTTGAAGTCCTGTAGTACTCCCACGATCTTGTTTTGACTGATTAGACTCTGTTCCATTCTATATGATAGTATCAAGTTTGAAGACATAGGCAACTACTTTGAAGACAATAAGATTCACTAAGATACCCATTCTGGTTTGACTATTGTCTTCTTTGGAAGTCCTGTAATGTTTACAATGCCTAAGTTTTATTGGTCTTGTTCTCTACTGTTTTGTCCAACTTTATAATATCTAATGAGATAGACAATTCTTTTTAAGGAAACAAGGGACAACGTTGATGACCATTGTTGATAAACTTGTACTCTGTTCTACACCATGTGCTATGTCTATCCTTGGTATTGACTGACAGCTTTGTTTTGCCATATTTGACTGTATTCTCCCCCCCCCAAAAAAAGTAATAAGCACTAAGGAGTAATAAAATCCAAAATGTGTAAATTTTGTTGTAAAAAAGAGAAGGAAAAAAAAAAGAAGAAAAAGAGCTCTAACGGATATAACAGCAAGTGTGTTTAGGGGTGTTAAATAGCTGACTATATCAATGTTTTTGGATCATTGAACACAGCTGTTTGCAGTCTCCCTTTTTGAATGTCCACCTTGTATTCTTTGATACTGTGATTTGAGGAACTATTTTCAAGATGATAATATGTAATCTACTAACAGGTGATTTCTTACTGTTATGTTTTTTTTTTTTTTTTTGTTTTGTTTTTTTGTAGTTCTGTATTACATGTACCCTTACACCGCTTTGGTTTGTTTTGTGTTTTTCTCTTTTTCCTCTTAAATAAAAAAAAAAAAAAGTGAAGCATTTTTCAAAAGGAAAAAAGACCTAGGATTACTCTAAGGAGAAAAACAGTAGTAAAAAGGGAAAAATGCAAGTCAGTTATACTATTAATGTCTCTTAGTTTATTAAAAATGAAGGTTTGTGCTAATATCTACTGGAGAAATTTTTATGCCCATATCTTTTACCCAGAGAAATCTTTAATGATAACAAGATGTAATATATTAACTATTGCCATTTTCCTATTGTTTTATTTTGAAATTTGCTTCACCTTTTTCCATAAAATAAAAAAATAAAATGTACTATCAAGAAAGTGAGATACATCTGTAGATCATATTAAAATACTCCAGTATTGTTCTTCACTGCTAAGTAAAAAATCTTCAGTGGTTTATTAAAGGGAAAGTTGGTTTCATGAATAAAACAATTGAATTAGCACATTATTTTCAGTCTGTATGCTGAAAAGTCATAAAAGGCCCTATATTTCAGTCCAAATAAATGATATAGTCAGAGGATTGCCATTGTGCCTTACAAGAGACAAGGGTATTTGATGGGCACTCAGAAGAGAAGCACTGGGAAAAACAATTCAGCTACCTGAAAATAAATTGTGAACCAAGACTCAGATGGGAAGGTACTTGAAGAAGCCTACAAGATGAAATACAATATTTAGTATTTAGAAAAACAAGCAGGGTTGCCCCTAGATCATGGCACAGTTTATACCCTAAGCAAAGCAAACACTATGATGGAAAAAGATCTAACTCCATGAGGCAAGAAGCCAAGATCTGCTGAGGTGGCAGAGCCAATGCATTGTTGCCCAACCTAGTAACCAGCATGTAGTGCACATCCGTTCTTAGTCCCTACTTCCTAGGGTGGGGGAGCCCAGTGAGTGAGATACTGTATATACAGATGAGGGTGCCAGACAAACTGAAAGCCCAAAAATCCTTTGGAAGGCAGTGACTGAGTTAGGATCATCAGGCCCTTGGGAAAGAAAGGAACAAGACTATATTGTCCTGGATAGGGAGCCAGAACCAGATATTGAGAGATCTACAACTAAGTGAGTCACAGAAATGGACGGTGGTTGCTACTGGTATGGGAAGGGGATTTCTGGAAGAAAAAGGAGGAGAATGGAAAATAGAAATGATCAAGATGCAGTGTATATATATGCACCAATTCCCCAAGATGAACTCATTTTTCTGTTTCACAAACATAAACTAATAAAAAAGACTGGAGCCATAAGTGTGTGTGTGTATGTACATGTACAACCAGAAAAATGTGTACAGACTTCAGCAGCTTGCGGTACTAATAAATGTCTACCCCTTTGACCAACTTTTGTAATTGCAGAGGACAAAGGTAACTCACATTAATCTCATGATGTCTCAATAAATATAGTATTAAAATATTTATACAAGTTTTTTCTTTTCCTGATGTATACAATTTTTGGCAGATTCTTTCTCTTTCTCTCTTTCTGTCTCTCTCTCTCTCTCACTCTCTTGATATATACATATATATCTCCAGAAAATCTGGTATTGATTTTTCTTTGAAATTTTAATTAAAATGTAAGTAGTTTTAATTTGGTAAGTTTTATCAACTTATTAAAACATGGAGTTCCTGGACACTGAAAAAAATTCCTTTGAATTACATTTGTTACATTTCGATGAAAGACACATTAAGCACCAAAGTCTCCAAAGAATTAACCAGTCTTTATCAAGAATATGGTTTTATGTCCATCCTCTTGATTTGATACACTCTGTCCTGGTATGTCACATTTGGTTTTACTTTCTTCAAAAAAACAAATAATAAGGACTGTGGGAGTAATAAAACCCAAAATATGTAATTGTCATTGTACAAAAGAAAGGAAAAGAAAGTTCTCTAAAAGATATAACTGCATATATATTTAAGTGTATAAGGTAGAAAACTATATTACTGAGTTTTGTTGGATCATTGATCAAAACTGTTTGCAGTCTGTTTGAAAGTCCCCTCTATATACTTTAATTTTGTAACTTCAACAACTATTTCTAAGATGACAATATGTAATTAACTAGTGATTTCCTACTGTTTATTTTTTCTGAAGTTCTGTATAACTTGTACTCTTTTTCTGTTTTTTTTTCTTTTTCTCCTTAAATAAAATTAAAAAAAAAAGAATATGGGTGCTCCCTAATATTTTGCTAGTGAAAGAATATGCCACATTTTGCTTTGGATCACTGGAGTGACCCACTAAATATGAAGTAAAAGATACTCAGATTACTTTAAAATTGTTATCTCTGCAGTAATAAGAAGAAAGTCATTTTGAAAAGCCTTGTTGAATTCTCAAATATAATTTGAGTTGTTAAAAGCCAAGTTATATGAAAATACAGGACATGTTTATGCAAAAGTCAGCAAATATATAAGGCCCAAATAATAATATTGTTAAAAGTATGAGAAGATAATGTCTTTAACTCTTCTACTTTATATGGTGACTTACAGAATTTATTTAGATTCACTCTTTTAAGAAAAATATTGGTATTAACATGAAAGGTACTATGAAATCCTTTTGAGAGACTAGACCTTCAAAACACAAATGTATTTTTCCAAATGATTTGACTGATATGTAATTACCTCTGTGCTAGTATCACACTGAGTTGAAGCTGTGCCACACTTGAGCCTGAGTCTTGACACCAATTGCTCAGATTCTCTAACTTCACTAAAGCGGAAAGCTGTTTTTCCTTTGATGCCAATGATGACAGATTTGCTGGAATCATTTGTCTTATCTACAGCTAAGACCTGGAGATTGAAAAGATACATAAGTGAATTACATTTTCTCTTATGTCTGACACCTTCAGGTAAAATATGCTTAGCTTATACTTTTGTGGCAAAAGTTTTGGTCCATGGCACAACTTATTAAAAAATAGAATTTAGCTATTAGTTGCACTAATAATACAAGTAATGTCAGTGTAAGCTATTTCATTTCTCAAGGAAATGATTTAATGTGCAACCTTTAAAGCTGATAATACAAAGATAAAATCAGTGCTAATTGCTGACAATTTATTTCTAACACAAAAGCTATGAATTTTGTTCCTTCTGACAAAGGACATATAATGTGAAAGCCTAAATTTTGGTATTCATTTCTTAAAGGATCAAGCCTATTTTGTGTCACTCTGAATACCCTTATTTGGCTTTTAATTTTTTTCTATTTTTACTTTCAGTAAGAGATGTAAGGCTGTACTAAAAGGAGGTAAGAATATCTCAAAAAGCTTGAACTTATATTCTGAAGATTAATGCTGAACTTAAAAGGCTACTGCATATTGAATTTTTATTAATTTAGATAACTAGAGAAAATTTACGAATTAAAACTGGTATGTAACCAAATTTACATCACCTCTCGTAATGGAATGATTACACTACACAGATTGCCATCCTGGCTAGCAAAGCAGATATAGTTTTCTGAGATGCACATTTTTCCATGGGTATTGAAGTGGCTGAATGGTACCCATAAGAAACATTCATGTACTTCTTTCAATGTTTCTTCTTTTGGTAGCCGAAAAAAGGCATTAAATTGCTCACTGTGGGCTCTATTTTCCAAACCTCTGTAGAAAAGAAAAAAAAGGGGGGAGAGCGGTGTTCAAATGATTAATTCTAAAGTGTACACATGCTTATATTGATTAACTTAAAAAACCTACAAAGCAGACAGATTAACTTCTAAACGCTATGTTCTTAAATGAATTCTGAAATGGAAAAATACAATTATTTCTAACAAATTGATTTTGGTTTTCATTTTTTCCAATTTAATTATATTGCTAGGTTAAAATACACCAATGTCAGAGATGACATAAGTCCTCAAACCACCTGTTAAGGGGTGATATTCTGGAAGACTACTGAAGTTACACATTCAATAATCAAAAAATGAAGTGAGTTATCCAGGTCAAACAAAATAAATGAAAATTTATGCTTTCTCTAAATATACATTTAGAGAAGGAGCAGCCAATAAATTTTTTTCTTCTTTATTTTAAAGAGAATAAAAACCAAACGAAAGAAAACAGAATAAAGCTAATCAGAACAGAACAATGAAAGTGATACAGGACTTCAAAGCAAGATAATAGGAAATCAATGATCACAACCATAATGTCCCTTGTTTTACTCAAAATAGATCCCTATACCATCAGATATAATAAAATCAAACAATAAAACCAATTAAAACAAAAATAAACAGCATTACAGGACTTCAAAAACCAGAGAATAGGAAATCAACAATGGCTACCATAATACATCCCATTATCTTCAAAACAGCTGGCCATACCACTAGACATAGCAAAATCAAATGACACAAGACAGAATAAAACCAAACCTAACAAAACTATGAAAACAATGCAGGAACTCAAAACAAGATAATAGGAAATTAACAATGGTCACCACTTTCCCTTTTTAGACATTTCCTCCCCTATCAATTTCACAATATCTATCAGGTTTTTATACTAGAGAGATACCTCAGTGTTCACCCATGAGTCCAAGCCATTTCACCCATGAGAATGATCTCAAGTTGCATCCATTCAACTACAGGAGCCTCAAGATTATCTTTTATAGCTGAGTAGCTTTCTATTGTATGAAAATAACGCATCTTTATTATCCATTCTGTGGTTGATGGGAAAGTTACCTCTGCTTTTTTCTGGTTTCCTGTCACATGGGACAATTGTTTTCTCTCCTTTCACTTTGCTCTTTGAATTTCTTTTTGAGTTAAATATATTTCTTGTATATAGCATATTTCTTGAACACCTCTCTCTCTTTCTTTTTCAGTAACGAGGATTGAACTCAGGATCTCATGCTTGCCAGGTAGGTGCTTATGCCACAGAGCTAAAGCCCCAGACCCTGTTTCATTTTATTGGTGAATTGAAGCCATCTACATTAATGGTTACAACTGGCATGAATTGGCTTGTCTGTGACAAGCTATTCTCCTGCTGTTGCCCCTCTCCCCCACTTTTCTCCTTCATTCAGTTGCTTGCCCTGTTTGTTGATCCCCCTCTGCAGCTGTTCCTGGAACCATGGTTATCTTTATCTTTTGTAGAATATCCTTTGTTGCTCTTTGTAGGGTTTATTTTTTGGTTATGAATTCCTTCAGTTGTTCTCTATAATGGAAGTGTCTTATTTTTCCATCTATTTTGAAAGACAGTTTTTCAGGATAGATCAATCTGGGTTGGAAGTTGTTTTCTTTCAGGACTTGAAACACTTTATTCCAAACTCTTCTTGATTTGATGGTTTGTGTTGAGAAGTCTGCTGTGATTCTGATGGGCTTTCCTTTATAGGTGATCTGTTTCTTTTCTCTGATAGTCTTTACTATTCTGTTCCTGTGCTGAATTTCTGGGATCCTGATTACTATGTCTGGGTGTAGAGTTATTTTGGTTATGGCTATGTGGAGTTCTGTATGCCTCACTTATCTGTATACCAGTTTTTTCCCCATGTTTGGGAAGTTTTCTGCTATTATTTCGGTAACTAGTCTTTTAATGTCATTTGTATTAGCCTCTGCTTTTTTTGTTGATATCCATTATGCTTAAATTATTTTTCTTTGCATTGTCTTGCAATTGTTATTGTCTTGAATTGTTATTTCCTAGTTCTTTGGCATTTTAAAGAGATCTTTCCTTTCACAATCACTAGCTGCAATGCTGTCTTCAGGGTCTGAGAGTTGAAGTTAAACCTCTTTCAAGCAGTCTTGCCAGCTTTTGGTGGATCTTTTCATTTGCTGGATATCTCTTTGAATCTGTTTCACGCATTGTAATTCCTTCCTATATTGTTCATTAAGGGTTTCCGTTATTTTCTTACACTTTTTAAAATATATGTCTTCTTTAGATATGCTCAGCAATTCTTTATTATTTTTGTGGTTTCTTCTTTTACCTGAGATATTATTTCTGATGTGATTTCTTTCGCAGCCTCATGAAGTTCTTTCTTTACTTCAGTTGCTATGTTCTCATAGATTTCAGGTGTGTGACTTCCTTTTTATTCCACATTTATATCTCCCAGAGTTGTTTTGTGTGGGCTGGAGACCTGAGATTGCCTTTTGCTCCTGTCTTCCATTTTCCTGGGTTCCTTCGAACAAGCCAGTTGTGGAGTCTCAGGTGTTTCCCATGTTTGCTGCCCTTCCATGGTGTATAGCAATGGGTCACACCCTTGGGTTTCTCTGTACCCAGGTTTCCAGGGATACAGTGGGCATGGGGACAGCTTCACCAGACACATGCAGCTACATTGAAGCTTTTCTGAGGGCCATGAGTGCATGGTGATGGGGCAGCTTTTTCTCTCAGTCTGCATGGCTCCACTGAGACTTCCTCAGTGGTGGCAGGTACACAAAGGTGTATTTGACTTAAGAAAATTAAAATTAAATGAAAGAAAACTTAATATTTTAAAACATCCCAAATATGTTTACAGCAGCACAATTTGTTTTAGTTCTGTCCTGGAAACAGCCCAAATGCATATCAACAGATGAATGAAGAAGATACAGATTTCTTTACATAATGGAGTACTACTCTGCCATAAAGAAAGATAAAGTTGAGAAATATCCAGGTAAATGAATGTACATTGAGACCATAGTGTTACATAAATCAGACTCAAATGTAAATATCATACTGTTTCTGTGGTGTGAGAAAAAATGGGTAAATAAGGACTTAAATTATATTAGACATTGGGAAATTTGGAGAAAATGGTCAAATGGAAAGGGATAAAAGAGAGTTGGGAGGAAGGATGGAAAAAGAAAAGACAAACAGAAGGAAAAAACAGAAACAAAGCTTTTGTAAATAAGCAGGATAAAAGGGCTTGAAGAGAGGGGAGAGGATTGGGAAATAAAGAATCCATATTATGTGCAGGTACGAATTTCCTACTATAAATGTGATCATTAAGTATATCTACAGTATACTAATATGATTATTTAAAAAAGATATCCAAATTAGAGAAATAATACAACATTATGTTTGCACTGGGTTGGCCATAGGATAAAAGCTGGTAAATAGAAAAGACTTGCAAGCTGAAACATAAATATATAAATAAAAAGCAATCATTTTAAAGAGTACAGTTTTTCTAGGAGCACTAAACACTTGTGCCAAGCTGCAATGCCATAGTAAATGAATTGTGCAAGTTGTAATTTAAATCTAACAAAGTTAAAAATAAATTCATCCTCTTGAACCTACTGTTTGAGTACGTGGTACTTCATCACATTTTTCAAAATAATTCTTATAAATATGACTAGATAACCATGTTAATTTTTACCTGACTTAAGTTGTAGTTTGGTGAGTTACTTCATTATCATTTTTAAAGGATGATCGTAGTTCATTTATATGAATGAGATGATGTTCAGGATATATTTTGTGACAAAAAGTATGTTATATTCAGTTGCATTCATGATTTTTGTAAATAATTTTTACTAATATATTAAAAAGCCTGGATGAATACTAAACTATGTCTATCATGCTTCTGTATTACTTATTTTAATTTTTTTGGATGTTTGAGACAGGGTCTCACTATGCAGTTTATGCTGGCCATGAGCTCACATTGTAGCCCAGACTGGATCCTCCTGCCTCAGTCTCCTGAGTGCTGGAATTACAAATGTGCACCATCACGTCTGGCTGTATGATTTAAATTATATAAGTAACACATACTTGTGAACACAATAAGCAGAAGACATTCAATAGGCTCTGTTAATAATACAAATGGGAAGGCCAGGGATATAGCTCAGTGGCACAGTGCCTGCCTGGCAAGTGCAAGGTCCTGAGTCTGAGTCCCAGTACCAAATAATAATAATAATAATACGCATGGATAAAATGAATTTTCTACATCTAATGTAAATGTAGAGTTGGCATTGAATAATTCACTGATAGGTGACCTTTTATAAGATATATTAAGGAAAATAAAGTGGCTAAAATGATTGTTTATGGCAACCAATCAAATACGCCATAAAAGCAAATGTGCAACTATAATATATTATGAATAAGACTTAGTCCTACAGATTTCTCTAAATCATGCATGTTGAGACTTAAATTTGGTAATAAAGTATGGAAATATCCACCCTCTAAATATAATTTCCAGAAATCCTTATTCGTATGGATTTTAGGAATGGTTTAGAAATAGGCAGGACAAATAAAAGTACCTTGTTAGGGCTATGAAGTAGTTATATAATGCTCTAAGTCATTTGTCCTGGTCTATCTATAGAACTCTTGTTTAGATTCTTCTTAAGTTTTCTCATACAGTCTATACCCTCATCTTCCTTGCCAAAACTACTTTCATTAGTGGTTCTGGATTCTCCACTATCTTCTTCCTCTTTGGCAAGCTCTGTTTAGTTGACTCAGTGTTGTGTAGGCTGAAAAAGCTCTAGTAAGTTTTAGCAAACTGAATAGAGAAATAATTAATACAATCAGATACTTCTAATGTAGGTACTAACAATGATTTGTATTTACTTAGCAGTTTATACTTTTAGTACTGCTTTTATATGTTTCACTCACTCCACATAAGTGCCCTCTAAGGCAGAAATGGCAGATTAGAAAACAGGCGCTGAGACAGTATGACTATATTGCTGTTTTTTTTAAATTTTAAAGCCCATGTACCACTAGCTCTATTACCTTGATGTCTCATAAAAATTATGCTATATGTAAACTATTTTAAAAAGTAAACATGTCTAACAATTGCATAACTGAAATTATCTAGACTATTTATAGAGAAATTGAGAGTTAAATTTACCACACACATAAAAATATCTCTATATTTCCAAAAAGCATGCCAGGATAAAACCTACTTAAATCACAAAAAAATAGTTTTCAGATGCAATTTCTATTGTTTCTCATGGTTAAATTTTCATGGACAGGATTAAGCAATATGAAATATGTATGAGTGAACTAAAGAAACACAGATGTTGTCATGATTAACAGATGATGTTGATGATTAACTCCACAGAAACACTGTTCCTTAATACTGAATGCTTATTAACACTACTGTTCTTATCACAAGAATATTAAGCTTTGAATACCTTTTAGTAATTTGTAGAGGATCATCAAGGATTGGGTCATTATCAAATGTTTCCTTATCAAAAATTCTCCTTATGGCATAGTTTGCCAATTGTTCCATAAGAAGGTATGTTTGGTTAATGTGCAAAAACATTGAAAAGTAGTAATCTTCCCCTTGGGAACACACATGAATACTCTCTGTCAGTATGACATTTGAAGTCTTTTCAAGTTTTGACACAGCATCCCAGGAGATAATGAGTTTTACTGCAAACAAAAGTTGTAAGTAGACATGATTAAATATTCTTATATTGATTTATGTGTGAATCAAGTCTTTTGAAATAACAATTTGAGAAATGCTATGAAGAGCAAAAATACTTCAGAGTTTGAGATTAGTTAAAATTGGGAAGCATCACCACAAATACACAATAATCAGTGATTCTAGGAACAGGTATGATTTTAAAGAATTAAAATAAGATTTTGATTTAATGTTTAAATCTATTTCTTTATATAGTAATTACCTAATTATATAACTACTGAGTAAAAGATATATATATGCTATATACAGTACTGTTTGGTTCCTCTTTATGGCTGCAAAGGGAAATGTGGGTCACTGGACTACTAGATTTATAGACTCATATTTACAACAAGGATTAAAATATGAACTAAATCAAGTAGGTAGTTTATAACACGGAAAGAAAGTAGTTATAAGTCAGACTGTCATTAATAGTCATTTACTTATCACACTATGCAAAGTTTTCCATACATGTCTAATAATTTCCTAGTTAAGCAAACAGTCCTAAAAGGATTTACTCTAGATAAAACTAATGGATTTACTCTAGATAAAACTACTTTTTTTTGAAATGAATTTCTTGATGTATGGTTTAATTACCGTTAACACAAATCCAAGTACTTAATATACAATCTAACTCCAGCACACAGTTGATCTGTCAAGTCAGCAAATTCAAAACATGGTAATCAATAGAAACCACTTACTTTCCGATCCCAACAAAAAAGAATAGAAGCTCAGAAAGTTGGTACTAAGATAGAGCCAACCCTGACAAGGAACCCGTCCTTTCCAATAACTGCATGAATAATAAGTCACTAATTTTTCCTGCTCTGGTAAACCAAATGATTTTTCAAATTTCAAAAGGGCTTCTCGAAATTTCTCAGGATCATCTTCTTTTGCAAAAGAATGTTTCCCCTCTTCGGCAATTAATCCCTAGGGAAGACAAAATATTTTCTGAAAATTCATTATCACCTACCAATAAAAATGTATTTAATTTTAAATCATTGTTTGAATACAATTGTATACCTTCCAACAAATATATATTTAATATATTTAATTTTACACTTGTTTGAATACAATTGTATATATCTATAGTACATATATTATATGTACACCTACATACTTCTCCTAGAAGAGAAGTAAGTAGTATTCCTTCAGTTTTTATTACGTTTTATTATTATTTTATTCTTTAGTTTTATTATTTCATTCTTCAGTTTTTTTCTAATGCCTCATAAGGGGCTACCCCAAATAAAGATGTTAAATCTATTATTTTAAATGAACAAACAGCTTTTTCAAACTCCAAATCAAGAAATATTGAAGTGAAAATATTTCTAAGAACATGTACAAGGGCACGAAAGACAAAGCATTGGCCTTAAAATTTTGTTAGGCACTAATCTAGTGTTTCTATGTATGCTGCTATAGTCTTAAAACTTGCCAGTAAACAAAAGATCTTTCATGTGAGCTCTGATCCTTATATAATATGGTCAAAGACTTTAGTATTCCATTTAAAAATTATACCCATGTCACTTACTCTTATCTTTCCTTGTACAAAATTAGTAATATCTTCATTTGAGTCAAACACAGATAAGGTCTTCATGATATTTTGTTCCAACCAATCCCAATGCTTGGTTATTTCTTCTCTGTTGGCTCCTGATAATAATAAAATAAAAGACTTAAGGAAAACTTCACAACAAAACTGGTCTTGCCATTTACCAAATTACTTTAAAAAGAAATAAAATATTGACTCACTTTCAGAATTAATGGTCATAAAGAAACAAAGAAACAAATAAATTAAAATTTATTCTCTACTTAAACTCACAAACATGAACAGTATCATTGTAAATAGAAAGTAAAAAACATTTAATGAAAAAGAAAAGTAATTATTGCTCATGAGAAAAGACCTAAAATTCTATAAACAAAATAACAGTAAATGGTATCTAGAGAATAAGAATTGCCTTTTTTTTTAAAGAATTACCTTTTATTAAAAGAATATATGGGCCAAAGATATATCACAGTGGCACAGTGCCTGCCTGGCAAGTATGAGGTCATGACTTTGATCCCCGGTACCAACAAATAAATAAATAAATAACAAATAAATTATAAAACAATATACAGAGTACAAAAATACACACAAATATTTCAACTCTTGCTCTTGAAATACAATTAGCATTGTGCCTACAATCTGTGTGGCTAAAAACAGCACATATGTGACAAGTCTATGCATGCTGCATGAACGTGGATTTAAACTTTTCCCAGCAGACCTATGAAACAAATCTTTGTTTAGTCACCCCATTTGTTAAAAGACCTAGTAAAACTTGCAAATTTCTCCATAAAGTTCAATGTAAATGAGGTCAATACATTCTGAATCATATTTTTTTACCATGTGCATTTATTAATCACAAACATATGAAACAAAGTACAGCATAGTCTAAAGAAAAAAACTAGCCTTGCTTAAGGTGACTTTTGGCAAGGAGGACAGGAAGGTGGGTGGGGAGGTAGTTTTTGGAGGGAGAGTTCCCCTCTACAAAGACTAGGGAGCTCTCCTTCTGGGGTTTTCCCTCTTGTTTCTTAGGTATAGGGTGTATTTTGACAAATAAAATCTGTCTAATGTTATTTGTTTTTTCCTGTGCTTCATAAACCTCCAGAAATGAGAAGCCCTGTTATTGCTCATCAGATTTAATACTCAGTTCACTATATCTATATTTCGGGTGTTGCTTCTCAAAGAAACCCTGACACTCATTCCATTTTTCTACAATGGTTTTTACTGCATCATTGCTAACCTGTCTTCCTCCATGGAATGCTCCTCAAAAAGCACCTGCTGCTGCTCACTCTGGAGTTCAGCATGGTCTTCCATTGTCAGTTCCTTCTTTTTAAAAATTTTTTTTAATATTAATGATAATAAAATCCAACAAAACAAAACAGAATAAAGCCAGTCAAAACAAAGCAATGAAATTGGTATAGAACTTCTAAGCAGGATAACAGGAAAACAATGACCAGCATAGTATATCTTGTTCTCTCACAATAATTGTCCATTCCATCAGATGTAACAAAATCAAAACAAAACTGAATAAAACCAATCAAAACAGAACACTGCATAAAGCCAAGCAACTAATTGAAACAAAACAGTGAGAACAATATTGGACCTAAAAAACATGACAGTAGGAAATCCCCCGTATTTGCTACACTGCACACTGTCACCTTCCCAACAGATGCTCACACTGCCAGCCCCAGACCTGCAAAGTCAAACAAACAATGCAAGCATTCAGCTGCTTTTTGTATCTCAGTTGCTATCAACTCAGCCTGTCCTCTAAACCAGCTGGTTGCTTATGTGGGATGAGTTCTTGGCTCTTAGCCTGCGCACCAGTAGGCTCATGTGAGGTGCAATCTGACTTCTCTCTTCCTGGGCCCCACAAGGCTTGTGTGGCTTTTCAGAAAGGTTGGCTATTTGGCTTCTTGGTGGGTTCCTCCTAGTCCCAGCATGACCAATTCTCAGGAGGCACTGACCTCTATTCCTGGGCCCTACATGGCTTGCATAGCTTTCCAGAAAGGCTATTTGGCTTCTTGGTGGTCTCTTCCTAGTTCCAGCATGACCAATTCTTGGGAGATGCTGACTTTTCTCTTCCTGGGTCCCACATGGCTTGACCAGCTCCTTCTTCGAGTCTTCAACAAGCTCCTTTACATCTGAAACACTGTGTCCAGACCCATAATTTTTTTTTAAATCTTTTTTGAGAAAGGGTCTCACTATGTAGTGCAGGCTGACCTCAAATTCACAGCATTCCCCCTGCTTCTGCCTCCTAAGTACTGGGATTACTTTTGTCCATGGACACAATTTTCTCCACTATGTGTGCATCAGGCCCTTCAAAGTCATGTTCAGGGACACATTCCAGCAATAGTTCTCAACAGGCTGAGTTTAAGGTCTGGTATGTGACATCTTCCCAGGCTTTCTTAATGAGGATCAGTGTAGTAGAGGACATTGCAATTTTTGTTCCATATTTAAATGTCAAGGACATATGTTCAGTGAAGTTAAAACACTGGGTGAAGAATCTCTTTGTGTACAGCTTTATGCAGTTCTATATCATTTGCTGGTCTATGGGCTACAGAAGATGCTTCTTATTGTGGGAAAGGAACTCGACCTTTATAAAGTCATACTCAGTGTCCACATTATCCACCAAAGTGCTGGGGTACTGCTCATCAGAAGAACAATGGTTGCTTATCCAACCGATATTTCTTAACAGTGGGTATCAACACCTTGTGTAGCCATTCCATGAACAACTGCCTTGTAATCCAAGGTTTCACATTTTCCCTCTACATGACAGGTAGTCTGGCCTTGTTCACGTTCTATTCCTTGAATGCTCAAGGGGTCTGGGAATAGTACACCAGTACTGGCTTAATCTTTAGATTGGCATTTGGTTTTGAACCCAGAAAAAGGGTCAGTCTGTCCATGGGCTTGTACCCCAGCAGCACATTTTCTTCCTGTATGATATAGGTTCTGTTCAGTATCTTGTTCCAGAAGTGTCCTGTTTCATCACAGTTGAACACTTTTGAGCCTTATGTCCTTCTGCCTTCATAAATTCCATGAATTCTTTCTTATCGGCTTCTGTACTCGCCTTCTCAGAACTGGAAGCCTCCCCATGTCTCACCATTGTAGCTGCCACTTTTCTGGTGGAATTTATCAAACCACCCTCTATTGCCTTTAAATCAATTATTTGTTGCACTTATAGAAGGATTTTCTTGCAGTAAATCACTGATAATTTCCTAGCTTTTTCAAAGATCACAGCTTCACTAATGCTATCTCCTGCCAGCTGTTTCTCATTTGACCACACTAACAAGTTTTTTTTTCACTTCTTCCAGTAATTATGGCTACTGCTTGGTTAACATTTTTACTCCTTTTGCCACATCAGCTCCTTTGTTTTTTTTTTTTTAATTTTCATTTTTAAATTTTTAATTTTTTTTGATTCTGAAGAGAATAAAACCAGAAGAAATAAAACAGAACAGAGACAATCAAAACAAAACAATGAATGTGATACAAGACTTCAAAACAAGATAAAAGGAAACCAACAATAGCTACAACGATGCCTCTTGTTATCTTCAGAATAACTTCCTATACCATCAGGCACAATAAAATCAAAACAGAAAAGAATAAAACCAATCAAAATGAAACAATGAAAGCAATACAAGACTAAAAAACAAGACAGCAGGAATAGAACATTGGCTACCATAATGCATCTTGTTATCTTCAAAGCAGTTACTTATACCATCAAACATAATACAATCAAACAAAACAAAATAGAATACTTAATCAAAACAAAATAATGAACATGAAACAAGGCTTCAAAACAAGATAATAGGAAATCAATAATGGCTACCATAATGCCTCTTGTTATCTTCAAAATAACTGCCCATACCATCAGGCATAATAAAATCAAACAAAAGAGAAGAGATTAAAACCAATCAAAACAAAACAATGAAAGTAATACAGGACTTCAAAACAAGACAACAGAAATACAACAGTGACTACCATAATGTATCGTGTTATCTTCAAAGTAGCTGCTTATACCATCAGGCATAATAAAATCAAACAAAACAAAATGGAATGAAAACAATCACAAGAAAATAAGTAAAGCAATACAGGGCTTCAAAAAAGATAACTGGAAATCAATAATGGCTACAATACATTTTGTTATTTTTCTTTCTTTCTTTCTTTCTTTTTTTTTTTTTTTTTTTTTTTTGTCTTTTTCCTTTTTATAGGTACCGGGGATTGAACTCATGACTGCCTGCTTGTAAGGCAGGCACTTATGCCGCTGAGCTAAATCCCCAGCCCCCACATTTTGTTATTTTTGAGATAGCTGTCCATGCCATCAAATATGGTAAAATCAAACAAAACAGAACAGAATAAAGCCAGGCTAAAAAGGACAATGAAAACACAGGGTTTCAAAACAGGATATAATTTAACAATGGCCACTGCCTTCTCCCTCTACATATCTCCTCTCCTTTCACTGTCACAAATTCTATTGTGCATTTTGTTTTGTTTTGTTGTCTTTTTCCTTTTTTATCAGTACCTGTGATCGAACTCACGACTGCCTGCTTGCAAGGCAGGGGCTTATGCTGCTGAGCTAAATCCCCAGCCCCTCTATTGTGCATTTTGGATCCACTAATTCCTTTAGTTTTTTTTTTATACTAGAGACAACATGATACTCATCAACATGACTCTGAATCATTTCACCCATGAGCATGACCTCAACTCATTTATCTACAAGACCCTTGAGATTATCTTTCTTTATAACTGCATAGCTTTCCACTGTAAAGAAATTCCGTATCTTTTTTATTCATTCTGCAGGGCAAGCTACCCCTACATTTTTTCTGATTCCCTGTCACATGCAACACTGTTTTCTCTCCTTTGATTTTTAGTCTGTGATTCCCTTTTGAGTTAAATGTGTTTCTTGAATAAACCATATTGATGGATCTTGTCTCCTGATCCACTCTCCCTGTTTCTTTTTAATGGTGAATTGAGGCCATCTACATTAATGATTATGGTCAACATGCACTGGCTTGTCTCTGCCATGCTATTTTCCTGCTGCTGGCTGCCTAATTTTCCCCGCTCCCACTCGGTGATCCTCCTCTGCCACTGTTCCTGGAACCGTGGTCTTTTTTTATCTCTCTCTAAAATGTCCTTCAGTATTCTTTGTGGCGATGGTTGGTGGTCATGAATTCCTTCAGTTGTTCTTTGTCATGGAAGTATCTTGTTTCTCCATTAAATTTGAAAGATAGTTTTGCAGGGTACAACAGTCTGGGTTGGAAGTTGATTTCTTTTAGATTTGAAATACTTCACTCTAAGTTCTTCTTGACATGATGGTTTGTGTTGACAAGTCTGTCGTAATTCAGATGGGTTTTCCTGTTTTGTTTTTTTTTTTTCTCTCTAACAGCTTTTAATATTCTGTTCTCGTGTTGAGTTTCTGGGCTCTTGATTATTATATGTCTGGGTATAGATTTATTTTGGTTTGGCTAGCTGGATTTTTATATGCCTCACTTATCTGTATATCTCATCCTTTTCTCATGCTTGGGAAGTTTTCTATTATTACTTCTGTAAATAGGATTTTAATGTCATTTGTTTTGACCCCTGATTTTTAACTGACATTTATTATTCTTAAGTTATTTTGCTTTACATCATCGTCTTACAGTTGTTGAATTTTGTTTTCTGGTTTCTTGTTATCTTGAAGAGATTTCTTCTTTCATGATTGAAAGCTGCACACCTGTATCCAAGGTCTGAAAGTCTGTCTTCAGTTTCTTTCAAGAGGTTTTGCCAAGATTCAGTGGAGTTTTTAATATCCTGGATATGTCTTTGAATCTGTATTATGCATTCAAATCTCCCTTACAATGTTCATTCACAGTTTCCTTCGTTTTCCTACATGCCTCTATTTTTTATCTGTGTCTTCTTTAGAAATGCTTAGTAATTCTTTTATTATGTTTTTCATTTCTTCTTTTACCTGGGATAGTATTTCTGATCTAATTTCTTTTATAGCCTCATTAAGTTGTCTTTTTACTTCAGTTGTCATCACTTCAGAAACTTTAGGTATGCGACTCCCAATCTCTTCCATGTTTTTATCTCCTGGACTTACTCTGCTTGGGTTGGAATCCAGGGGCTGCCTTTTCCTTTTTCTTCTTAACATTTTCTTGGGTTCTTCTAAACAATCAGGCAGTCAGATCCCAGGCACTTCCTGCATTGGCTACAATTTTTCTGGAGCATGACTGTTTGGTTCTCCTGGGTTCTTGTGGCCAGTGCTGGCTATGTGTATCCAGTGCTGGCTAATGGGTATGCTGGCGCTGGGCTGGCTGCTGGTTTTCCCACTCATGCTGGCTACCTGCTGCAGAAGCATTCAGAGGGCTGATGGAGTGCATGCAGGGGCAGGGTCTGTCCTTGCTTCCTCACCGAGTTGGTTACTGGTGGGCAGTGTCTTCTGATGGCTGCTGGAGTACATGCAGGGGCAGGGCCAGCTGCTGTCACCCACTGAGCTTGTTACCTGCAGGCAGTGTCTTCTGATGGCTGTTGGAGTGCGTGCAGGGTCTGGGCCAACTGTTGCCTTCTCAATGAGCGGGTTACCTGTAGGCAGTGTCTTCAGATGGCTCACATCATCTCCCTTGATGACATGTTTATTCTTCAAAACAGTTGGGATTGTTGACTTTACCACCTTATACTCTAAGACCAGATAAGTCATATGAATAACATGTTCATGCTTTTCTAGAATTTTCTTCTTTAATTCAATGGTTATTTTTAAAAAAATTCTTATCATTCTTTCTCTTCACTTTCTTGTTAACTTCCTTATCGCTCTTCAGGTTCTTTCACCTTCATTACCACTTGCACTTTGAAAAATGGCTGTAGTCTTGTTCATTACCTGATGCAGAGTTTGTAAACAAAAAATAGTTGTAAAAAAGTGTTTGTAAACTGTACAACTGGGACACTATCCAGCAGTCACATGAGCTACTTCTTCAATTTCTTCAGAACTGTGAATGTTTGTAATGTGAAGTCCATTTATATCTCTGAAAGTTTGAAACTTAAATGTTTCTAAGTCAGAGACTTACAGGGAAGCTCATCTGCAGGTAACTACTATGTTTATGTATCAGCTTAATTATGGACAATAAGTTATATAGTAATGCTTTTTTACCTAGAAAAGACCTTCATTTACTAACTCAAGTGATACAGGTTATTGAACTTAGTAGTGCTTTGCATGTGTTAAGCAAGTGTTCTTTTACTAAGCTACAACATTACCCTAGAAAGGATACTATTTTCTAAATAATTTAGATCAACCAGATTTAGCATCAAGAATACAAAATTCTCATGTCATCTTCATCTGGTTTAAATGGCATTCAATTTAAGCCAATCAAGGGAAAAATAGTCACCAGCAACACTAAAGGAAATTTAGAGGGAAATATAAAGAACAAGGCACATATCCTAAAACATGAATTGTATGTTGCAGGTTCACATATAGGAAATGTCTAGAAATTTGTTTTTGTTCTTTTTTAAAAATATATATGCATGTACCAACTTACCACAATGAATGTAATTAATATGTACTGCAAATGTGGACTAATATTTTTAAATAAAAGTTATCAACTTGAGAAGGGGAGAAGAAAGAGAAAAAGGCAGTCATTCAACATTTAAAAGGCCAGAAATATTACAAAGGTATTAAAAAAGTAAGTGTCACTCTGGATTAAAAAAAATTATTGTGACCTGAGTAGGAAGAATTATCATAGATTCCTTCTTACTCATAATAAAAATGTGGAAATATCTGAATCACTCTGGTATAAATGAATATGTACTGTTACCGGTAGGATATTCCTTTATATTTTAAGGATATGATCCCTTTTGTGAGAAAATAGGCATATAAATTTTTAAAAATATCTTTTTCTGGATTATTGTCCTTTGGGGAAATCCTTTAAATTTTGAACTCACATTTAAATTCAGATTTCCCTCATCCAAGTTATTAGAAATGAAACAATATATTTCATGAGGACAGTCTCAACTTCTCAGCAGTTGTGTGAAGCAGAAGTTGAACAAAGTCAGGCAGCAGTAGCACTGACAAAAATCTGCTCAGAATCCACACTTATGGAGCATGTGCTTCAGGTTACTAACATCAATTGATTTTTTTTTTATTGTGAAGGGAAGAAAACAAAACAATAAAACAGAACAAAACAAAACAGTGAGAACAATATAGAATTTCAAAAACAAGACAGAAGAAAATCCCCCATAGTTGCTATAATACATATTGTTATCCTCTGAACAGATGATCAGACTATCAGTGCCAGGCCTGCAAAGTCAGTCAATCAATACAAGCATTAATTTGTTTTTACACCTCAGCTGCTATCATCCCAGCCTGTGTTCTTCCATTCAGCTGGTTGCTTACAGAGTCGTGGAGTGGGAAGCTCTCTTCTTGTCTCCCAGCCTGTACACTGACTGGCTCACAGGAAAGGCAGGCTGACTTTCTGGTTCTTCTCCCAGCCCACGGCCTCTGTTGGCTCACCAGAAAGGCAGGTTGATTTCCTGGTTTTTTTCCCAGTCCATGGCCTCCGCTGGCTCACGGTAAAGCCGGCTGATTTCTTGGTTCTTTTTCCAGTCAACTGATTTTTTAAAATTAAGTTTATTGGTACAATTTAGACATATGTAATGATCACATTCATCACAGGGGATTTGTTCCTGTACATGCTTTATCTTGATTTTTCTTTTTCCCCCACTGCCTTCTCCCTTCAATTCCTCTCCCTCTCATTTATAAATCTTTGTTTCTGTTTTACCCTTCTTTTCTCATTCTTTTCTTTTCCATTCCTTACTCCCCCTACTCTAGTTCCCTTTTCCTTTTGAACAATTTCTTCATATTTCACGATTTCTATTATACATTTTTTTTTTTTTTGGTCTTTTTCCTTTTTATCGGTACCGGGGATCGAACTCATGACTGCCTGCTTGCAAGGCAGGCGCTTATGTCGCTGAGCTAAATCCCCAGCTCCTAGATTTCTATTATACATTTTATAGCTAAATGGATGGACCTTGAGACCACATTCTTTAGTGAAATAAATCGGACACATATGTGTAAGTATCACATTGTCTCTTTCATATGAGGAACTGAAACTGTAAATAAAAACCAAAATGTATAATGGATTTTTAAATTCCCAATAATCAGTAATTCTTAAATAAACAGTGGTCTTGTTAATTCTCTCAAAGTAGACTTGCACATTTAACTCATTTCTAGATCTCAAAACAATTAGGAAGTATAAATTTGAATGTTCAGTTTCTAAACATCCTTATTCAATTTGAATAGTATATTTAAAAAATCATACTCACCACATGCAATTGACAAGTAAACTTGAGAATCTGGTGTCTGGTGTAGGATACGAAATGGAGCCACTTTAGCAGTAGAGTCCAAAACTGAGTCAAGTGTTCCAACCAGAAGACCTATTATAATAAAAAGACTGTTGCAATAAGGATTTTATAAGAGGTAAGTAGAAATAGCCTTAATTACTTCCCTATTGCTGGAACAAAATACCCAACACTGGAAACGTAAAGGGAGGAGAAGTTTACTTTGGCTTATGTTTCAGTTCATTGTCCCCTGGCTCCAAGGCAGAGTAGCATGGTAGTAGGGCATGGTAGAGGATGGCTGCTCACATCATTCAGCAAGGAAGCAGAGAGGGCTGAAGGAGCCAGAGAGAGAGATAAATTTTTCTAGGCCATAACCCCAGTGATCTACCTCTTCTGACCAGACCTTACCTTCTAACAGCAAGCCAGCTATAAACTTCCATAAACCAATCACATATTGAAATCTCTACCTATGAGCACATGAGTCTTCTGGAGATATCTAGCTATAAAGCATAACAAAAATCAATTATAAGAAGAAACAAAATGTCAGTAGCAATCAGTAGCAAAATGCAGCCTCTCTGAGACTCAGACTACAGACATTTGGAAAATAGTAACTTGGTGAAAAGTAAAAAAAGAAATAGAACTTCACAAATCAAATAGAGGGATATCTCACAAATCCACAGGCTATATACTATAGAGCTAGGTGTAGAAAAATGTGAATTGCTGGATTTTAAAACTGCAGATCCTAAAAAAACTTGCTCATTCAGAAATATACAGAAAATTATTTTGTCAGACTCATTTATTTTTCTTTCTTCTCAATGAATACTTGGGGGCTTGAGGACTTATTTTTTTCCTTTTATTTTCCTATAACTTTTTTACTTGAAGACTTTTATGTTTTCATTCTTGCTTTCTTTTTGTTTTCTTGTTTGTTTTTTTCTGCTACCTGTATCTATCAACATCACTTTATTCCTTAGTAGGATCCTTTATTTTACACTTCTCTCCTTCATACCTTTCTTATTTAAAGAAAGACAAAACAAAATAGAAAATGGGTAGAAATAGTACATACTTTCAAAGAAAAGAATTAAACAGTAATAAATAACTAGATGATATACACATATTGTCCCCCCACAAATAGGTGTTCAAGATACAAAAGTGGAACATCTAAATGGGAATTCAACCAGGGAGACTGCAAACAGTTCTTCTGTTCAACTATCCAACAAAAACTAAGTAATACGGCTATCAATCCTATACACTTAGACATGTATGTATTTATCCATATCTTCATTTATGCTGAGACCTAACAAAACTTATTAGATTAAAATCCTTCTCAACAAAGATTAATAATGTTGCTGGATTTCACATCATAACACTCTGGTGATCCGGCCTGCAGATCAATCCATGGGGTGTACCTGGAGGAGGAATAGGGATTAAAATAAAAACATGGGGAAGACAGAGAGAGACTGAGGTTAAGTTGAGAGAGTCCAATCAAGCCCCGTTTTACTCCGGAAGCGATTACATCTTTTATAGGCCAAGGGCGGGAGATGGGACAGGAAGAGGTTACAGGGGTGAATACAACAGAGTTATCGTCACGTCCGGGTATGTGATGTAAGCAGGAGAGGATTATGGTTAATGTAGGCAGACGCATTGTACCCATAGGAGAGAGAGAGGCAGGCAGGCAGCAATGGGGCTGTCGTGCGGCTCCCTACACTCCGGAATCAGCATTGGGTACTGCAGTGCCCTTTTCTTTCTTTCAAACCATTTGTTCATTTCATCATGTGTCATAAGATCAGTTCTCATAAACTGTTTATAGGTTTTACGCAACCATGAGTCTTAACATGTATTTCTATCCTTTCTTCATTAGAAGGAGAAACAGAACAAAGCAGGATAGAACTAAACATATTCCTATAGAAACATAAAACTAAAAAGACATATAAAACTGCTGTATAAGGAGTTCTACCATGGTCACTGTGCTGTTTCTTATTATCATCAACAGAATTGGCTATATCATCAGTTAAAGTATAATTGAACATATCCATACATAACAGCATAGAAATACAACTTTGTAGATAGTGTAGAGCTACAAAAATAGGTAGTAATCAAATCGGAATAGATAGCATGGTGAATCATTGTCATTTTCAGTATAGTTGTCTATACTCCTCAACTTGATACGAGCAACCTAACAGTTTTGAATAAAATCTGTCAATAATAAGCAGCAATCAAACAAGTCAGATTTAACTAAGATCAGTCATGATACAACAGTATAAGTCATACAGGGATCTGGATTGAGTTAATAGGAAATTAAAGATGACCACTGTGCTATGTCCTGATATCTTCGGGACAGCTGTCTGTGCTCTTAGATCCAGTGCTTGTATACAAACTAGGACGGAACAAATTCCAACCAAGAAGAATGGTGTGAGTAATGAGGGTTTTAATTCCTGATACACTATTAGCTGTATCTTCTGCTGGTTTTTTTGAAGACTATTCCTCCCCTTTACTTCCCCAGAATGAACTGTGTATTTTTTGGTCCCCCTAACACTCACAGTTTTGTACTGGGGGGGCAACCAGCTAGTTACCTAAGTGTTTCCAAATTTTCTCACTTCTGGACTGGATTTCTAGTTATATTTCTTCATTTATTAAAGCCCGTCTGTTCAACCTATCCATAAATACTGGCCCAATTACCCCGATTACTCTCTGGTTCCCTATGAGTTCCATTTTCTCATATTTGATTTTGGTCTATATAACCTTATTCAGGCTAATTATATTTCCCATAAAGAGTCTCTTGGTGGACCCTCTTGATCCACTCTGCCTTCAATTCTCTTTTTTCCCTTAAGTTAGTGTATCTAGGCCATCTATATTTAAAATTATATCTAACCTTCTTTGCCTCATTTCTGTTGTGCTATTTTTCTGTCAATAGTTGTCTGTTTGTCTTCTTCATTTATCTTTTTGCTCCATTCATTGTAGCCTCTCTGCCACTGTTTCTGGAATCCTGTACTTTTCTCTGTCTTTAGAATGTCCTTCAGTATTCTCTGTAGAGTTGGACTGGTGGTTGTGAATTCCCCCAGTTCCTTTTTATCTTGGAAGCACCTTGTTTCTCCATTAATTTCTAGGGACAATTGTGCAGGATATATCAATCTTGGCTGGAGGTTATTGTCTTTCAAGGCTTGGATTATTTGGCCCCACGCTCTTCTAGATTTGATGGTTTGTGCCAAGAAGTCTGCTGTAATTCTGATGGGTATTCCCTTGTAAGCGATCTGTTTCTTTTCTCTGACAGCTTTTAATATTCTATTCTTATATTGGATTTCTGGGATCTTGATTATTATATACCTGGGTGTAGTTCTGTTTTGATTGTAGGTGGCTGGAGTTTTGTATGCCTCATACATCTGAGCATCTTTTCTTTTTCCTATATTTGGGAAGTTTTCCTTAATTATTTCTGTGAATAGCCTTTGCAGTTCCTTTGTTTGTACCCCTGCTTCTTTATTCATTCTTTATTCTTAAGTTATAGATCCACTTGTCATCTTCTAGCTTTTGTATTGTTAACTGCTTGTTTCCCTGTTATTTTTAAGAAGTTTTTCCTTTCATGTTCCCACATTACAAACCTGTCCTCCAGTTCAGATAATTTACCCTTAGTTTCTTCCAAGCTGTTATGCCAGCTTTCAATAGAGCTTTTAGTTTCCTGGCAATCTCTTTGAACTTGCTTCACGTATTCTATGTTTTCTCTATTTTCTCCATCAAACAATTCTCCCCTTTTTTGTTCTTCCATTCTACCATCTGTTTTTTCTTGGGAGGTGTCATGGTTTATGTTTGTGTCCCCCAGGCCTCATGAGTTTGCATTGTTCATATGTGATGGTTCATTGTATAATGCTTGGATTGATGGTGTTCGTGCTCCACCCACATAGGGGTGGAGCCAGGATGTGATGTAATGGCAGGAAGAAGGTGTGTCTTTCTCTTTGCTGGTTCGAGTTTGCTGCTGGCGGCTGCCATGAACTGCAGCCCAGCCATGCCTGCCTGTCTTGGAGACAACTGAGTGTGGACTGAAACCTCCAAAAACTGTAAGAAATAAACCTTTTCTTTCCCAACTTTGGGCTTCAGGTATTTTGTCTCAGTGATGAGCATAAAGTAACTAAGACAGGAGGTGTTTACCATTTCCTTAATTATTCTATTTATATCTTGCTTTACTTGGTTAAATACTTCAATTTTGAACTCGTGTATGAGGTCCCGAAGATATTGCTTTATGTCTATCGCATGTTTTCTGTCCTCATTCTCTTTTCCATTTACCTTTCCTGGATCAGTTTTCTCAGGATGGGGACTGATGACCCTTTCTTGTTGCCTCCTCTTCTCATATTTTTTATTCCTTCCATATAGGCATATATGGGAGGCCCAGTTTCTTTCTTTGCCAGTTTCAATTTGTCTAAAGCACACTGACAAGGTGGTCCCACCTACTGAGGTGTACTAGGAGGTACAGACCAGGGCAGCCTATGTTGGGCCCTCCATTCCAGGTCAACCTACTCAAGGCTTCACTGCGTTAGGGTGCACTGCCAGGTGCAGGGACTTGCTTTGGGCTAGCTTATTGGTCCTCTGTCCGTGGCGTCACCCAGGTCAAGCACTTCCCCCCCAGTCTCGCTTGAGAAGGGAATATGTGCCTGAAGTCACTGCAGTGCCCTGTTCTGGCCAGTCTGACCAGTCCCAGAATGTCCTCTGTTGGAGCCTCTTTGTCTATGGAAGGGTCTTTATTCCTTTCACTCACCGCAGGTTGATGCAGGGTTCCCTGCCAGCTCTGCTCTCAATTTGGTTTGCTGATTCCTGCTCTCACAGCGTTCACTTTTCCAGTGAGTTGAAACTAGTGGGCTATCCCGGCTGTGCCAATTCAGGCGCAGCAGTGGCAGCGAGTTCAATCCACGAGTTCAAGTGGTAGCACCGAGACTTTAGCTGTTCCAACCATAGCACCACGACTGCATTTTCAGTTGGTTTCTCTCAGCTTAGTTTGTTGCTGGGTCGGCAGGGTATATCTATCTCCCTCTGCTTAGGACTCCCCACGCTGCCCCATTCCTGGAATTTAAGCTGGCTATCTCAGAGAGCCTCTGTAGCTGCTGTTATCTATC